CTTACAAAATGACTGATAACTAAAAAACTAATCCAAATTTTTGAAAAAGAAAAAAAATACTTCTTCATTATGTCAAAACACAATTATGTGCCGAGTTTCGTGCCTGGGCGAGGCTTCTGGGGCGATATATTGTGATTACAGACACACACAGCCGCGTTTATTATTATGTATAGATTATCAGGCTATAATGCTAAGTAGATTACAATGCTAAGGATCGTGTACATCGATACTTAGCATTTAGAAAAAAGTAAAATTACCAATTCAAAAAATAAAGTTAGAAATTATATTTTCTTCAGTTCACACAAAGGAGACAATTATTACTGGAAAATCTGCCTAGATTAGCACATTAAACTACTGAGAATATACATGTACGTTCCCTTTCTTTAAATAAATACTATTACGTGATTTATAGCGATCTTGGATTCTAAAATCGCGTGAATATGAATTGCGATAATGGATTTTGAAATCACGTAAATATGGAACTCGATATTAGATTTCAAAAATCCAAATCATGCTGTGTAAGTTTTAGATTACGAATCACAACTTTTAAACATCATATAAATACAAAATCAATGTTTGATATTACAACCGCAGAAATGAATCACAACATTGAATTTTAAACTTGTGTGAATACGAATTGCTACATAGGATTTTAAAAACGTGTAAATACGAATTGCTACATTGAATTTTTAAATCTCGTAAATAAGAATCTCAATGTACGATATTTAATTCGAGTGAATAAGAATCGCAACATGTAACTTTTAAATTAGGTAAATATGAGAATCGATGTTCGATATTAAAATCACGTGAATAAGAATCAAGATATCAGCAGATTCTGGGCTCTGGATTCATATGAAGCTTGTTTAAATTGTTTTTGTTTAGCCATAATTAATAAAAATTTACAAGATTGAGTGGACAAATAAATATTTTCACCACAAATCAATCGTTTCTTTTTTTACACATGCCACTTTTTTTCAACGTAGAAGCAGGGACGTCTGAATTACGAAAATATGAGCAATCTGGCTGGCGGTTAAAAATGAGAAAAATCTTATAAGATATTTTCCGCACATAAAAGTGGAGAAAATAGTTAAAATAAGTAAAAATGCAGTAGGGTTGGAAACTATGTAGTTTAAATTTTCTGTTTAGATTTGAAAAACAGAAATAAATATAATTATTTTACTTCAAGGACTGAATTTTTAGAAAACTCTCAATATTTATAATGAAAAAAAGTGAAACTTTTAGAAAATTGGTGTTTTTGATTAAAAAAAAAAAACCGCTGATATTTTAGAGATTAAAGTGAAAAAAGCGGAAAAATCTCACCCCTGCAAAAATACCTTTAAGTACTTTTTACAAACGCTACGCACCCTGATCTCAGTTTTTTGACCTTGGGCTCTGGGGTGCAGGAGCAGATGTTCCTGTCAGGTGATCAGCCGAACGTGGAGCCCCCAGTGTTTAGTTCCCAAGCATGCTTGGTACTCATTTATCGACCCACTGAAGGGATGAAAGGCTGAAAATGTATCCAATTAAACAATAAAATTCCTTCAATATATTCGCCAACAATCCCTTACTTTGTAGGTGGACAAATCCAAACAAAGTTCATTTATATGTATTTTATTTATGTACAGTATAATATTAAAGTATACATTATTTACATTCATTCGCTCATAATAACAGACTGCTCTGATGTTTGATTTTTTCTAGTTAATAATTCCTTATGAATCTCAGCAGTGAACCAATCGTGGGAATGGATTCCAATGAGTCGCAGAAGATCTGTTTGCTGGTCAGATGATAGATCATTCTTGTAAATCTTGACAAATGAAAGTAAGCACTCATGCCACTGTTTTGGAAATGTTCTTTCATCCTTTTCAAACCTAAGTAAAACACAGTAATTAACATTAAAGTAAATTAAATCTAAAGAATTGAAACTTAAAGGGTACCTTTGAAATTGAAAGACATTCCATACTGCAAACTTTACAAAAGAGAGAGAGAATGGCTATAAATTAGAGGCGATTAGCGCAGATTTAATTTTACACATGCAGTTTTTCAATTGCCTTATCAGCGATAATTGCTGCGGATATCCACACAGTCTTAAGTTAGTTACCAGGGTAAACACTCAAATCAGCATAGCTGCCAACATGGATAGGAAAAAATCCAGTAGACTTTACGAAATACAGTACAGAACCCGTTGTCTGGAAATCAGAAAACCGGAACAAAATTCGATAATTTAAAAAAAAAAAAAAAACGTTTTTTCCTCATAAGATTTTAGGATTTTTCTTTCTTTTTTGAAAGATGTTTACCTTACCATCATTTTGGAAATAATCATTAGTGTATCATAGTCTTCATTGTTTTTTCTTCTTTTTAAGATCATTTCCAAATTTTTTATTTTATTTATTTTTTTTTAGTTGGGTTTAAAAATAAAAAAAAGCGGCTTTTTGTAGCGATTAAAAAAATTGAAAAATCAGTTATCCAGAATAGCGATGGTCCCGATCGTTCCGGATAATCGGTTCCCTACTGTAACATAAATCTCACTATAACTGCTGCATACTATACTAAATATTTTTTCATATAAGGAATTTTTTTATTGGTATCAGAATACATAAACTGTATCACTTTAATAACTATATATAAATAACTATATGGTCTACAATATTTTCGGTTAATGATCGACATTAAATGAACTAGAAATGTTTATTATGTTAACACATTTTTAATAGTAAGAGACAAGTAATTTTTAAAAAAAAGTTAGTTAAAATGTTTTTTTTAATTAATTTAAAAAAGAGCTGAAAATTTTAAAAAAAAATTCTTTTAACTGATTACTAACAATGCTTCATTAAGTAAGTCTAGCTATGCTAGTTTTAATTGATGGAAAAACTTAAAGAAATAAGGAACAGCTTAACCAACTTAATACAAATAATGCTAAAGAATAGCAGAAATATCATCCCTAAATATCCCATAGAATGTGCTTTGAGAGGTCATCGCTTTTTAAAAGACGAAGAATAAGAAACAAAATTCCCTGTTATTTTAGGTGATTTTTAAATTCCCTGTATTTTTCAGGTTTTTCCTATTCTCCTTGTGGAGGGGCAACCCAGGTTTGTATCCACGACTGCTACCGCCTTTGCCGATTTGCATTTTGCTGATAATTCAGAAAATACACACACACAAAAAGATAAATGTGGTTAACAGTAAATGTTAGTGTAGGGCAGTGTTTCCCAAACTTATGACTATTGTGTACCTTTTCAAAATTTTTCGTATTGCTGTGTACCGCTAATAAAAAAAATTGCACAAAAGCTAAAAATCACAACTGGCTGTTGACACTATTAATTATTAACTGTTAACGTTGCAAAAAATAGCCAATAGAAAAATACATAACCGTAAATTTTCACGGCTAGCTTTATTTTTAAATAAGATTGTTTTAAATTTTAATTTGTTGCAAGATATTTCGTATAAGAATGCATACTATCGTTAAACTGTTCCTGTACCCTTGAGGGTACGTGTGCCACACTTTGGGAAACACTGCTCTAGGGTAAAGAGCTATTTTCTTTTGCGCGTTTGTTCATTTAATAATTTCTCACCATGTTTATTTTCAGTTATGAACACATTTATAAATTGAGGTATTTATAACTCAAGGCAACTTTACAGTAGGTAAAATGTTTGAAAACCCACCCATCATCTCACAAAAATAAAAGGTTTTAAAAATTAAATTAGTTTTACGTGAAAAACTAGCTAAATATCTTTATATGAATCAATCTTGATCACAAAAATTTTTTCACATATCAATACTAGAAAATAATATCTTAAAGGGATACAAATGCAATGCATATGCATCTTCACAATGCAATGCATATTTCCTTAATTATTAAATTTGCTTTCTTACTTCATGAAGTACTGGACAACAGCTCCGATTACTTTGAATGGTAAGGCATATTTTTTTTCCACAAGAATTTTCAAAAAGTAACAAGCTGCTCCAGTGTAATCCATCTGCGAAAGAACCAGTATGGCGGCACCAGAATCAAGAATAGGAATGGAGTGCTTTGCTATCACACTTCCAATAATTTTAGCTTCGTACTGAGAACAAGGGATATCTGGATCTTTAAACTAAAAGAAAAAAAAGGAAAATATCAACATAAATGGAAAAGTAATTTTAAAATATTGCTTAACATCAAATAATGCATAATTTGCGTAGACTTTTAAAAGTATGTATTTAAGCCTCAAATTTTATTAGAAATACATAATGTGACAATAAGTTAAATACAATCAAACCTTGTTTCACTATTTCCTTATCTTTATGTTTTAACAGTTTTGTCACAAATACTATTCTTATAAAGTCAGTTTTCAGCAATCACCATAAAAATTTTAATTTGATTTACAACACATTTGAGTTAAATATTTCGTGTGTCATAATACAAAAGCTCATTTAAAAGATCGAAATTTTAAAAACTAGATAAAAATGGTAAAAAATATACTTACACCACACTTGCTGCATGTGTTTTTCTAAATAATTTCTTAAATTGTTTTTACTTCTGTTTTGTTAACTTCAACATAAACTTGGAAAAATCAAATACTCAGAATATTGGCAGAAATTTTTAAAAATTAAGGATAGTTTTTTCTCCAATCAATATAAGGACAACTAAGAGTCCTGCTTCTTTGGCTGTATTTTTTATATCTATGCTTTTATAATTGTTAGAATATGATTTTTGCATTTCATCATTCAAATTGTATACTCATTTAACTTTAGATGAAAACATAAGAAACAGTAGAACACTGTTTTTCAGAACATAAACAATAAAAGGGACTGTCTAGGTTTTTTTTAGAGGTAACTACTTGGGAAAATTTTGACATAATTTGAGAAAATTAAAAAAAAATCAACACAAAAATATGGTAAAGTAAGAAAATATTTTCAAAAATTGTCACTACAAATAGAAATCATTTACGACTGGTAAATTTCAATATATTTTTCCCCATATATTCAAAAATAATTTTGCTATATTTTGGGCTTAAAATTGTATCCAAAATTTTAAGAGGTGTGTGTGTGGGGTGGGGGGAAGAATGCAGAATTGCTTTTTTAAAAGTAGTTTGTGAAACTACCGTTTCTCCTAAATTTGAATTTTTGAAGGTACAGCTAAACGGTAGTAAAATTGAACCTGGACAGACCCTTGCACTTAAACACACTAAATTCAATATATGTGTCACAATTTTTTATAATTTATAAAATACGGTAAAATTTTATAAATTACAAAATTACCTGCAAATTTAAATACGAATCTTAATAATACAACTTTAGTTTTAATTAAAAATGTTTTAGTTTTTATGTGGATATACAATTTATTGATGACACTAACTTAGGATTACTTACTTCACATAGAGGTATTATTATTCCTTTGTAGAATGCAGAAGGCTTGAAGAGTGCCTGTATCAGTGCCTAATAAAAGAAATAAAAAATTTAGGCAAGGTATCAACAGTTTGAATCTTAAGTAGTTGCAATGCATTTAGTTTTATAAAGAATCATTCATTATAACCACCAAACAAGAAAAAAATTGAGATAATTTGGCCTGTTCTTATTCAGATTTTTTGTAGTGACAGCAAAAATAAAATTGCAGTAAAAAAGTTTAATGCAGTCTACACTCTTTAGACAGGGTTGGGGTTTCGGACGCCCTAAATTCGCCTAAGACGCCCTATTCATTCTTATTCAACCAACAAAGTATGAAAAAGTCCAAAGCACGAAAAATATATTTGTTTGTGAATGGTGCACCACCCACCCTCTACAGAAAAAAAATCATATTCAGGTGCAAATGTGACGCTTGTGGTCATTTGTGACTCAGGATCAGCTTTCAACATGAATGAAATTAGATATGAATGTTACATCTATGACTTTTTAAGAGATAAGGAAGGAAATTCTAAGAATGGAAGCTCTTGGGGTGATCAGCAGTGAGTCTTCTGCAGTAAAAAAAAAAGATGGGAAAAAATGGCATAAGATGATAAAATAAGATTTTTTACATTATTTAAAAACCAATAAGAAATAGAGAAAATAAGTTTGAAATTTGAAAAAAAAAAAAAAGTTTTACAGGGGTTTATTGCTTCAGAGAATATAGTAATATTGAGAGGAGCATGACATTAATTCATACGAAAGTTCACCGGGACCACGAAACATTATCGCAATAAAGGTAGTTATTGTTGTATGTATTAGTTATCGTAGTAGCAAGAGTTCGCTGTATTTTTAAAATAGAATTTCAAGAACTTCTTAAAGTAACAATGAACAAAAAGCATCCAAATTACAAGACATATCATTCTAAGTAATAAAACTACCAACATTTAATAATTTTTAACAGACTTAAGGACCATTATTGAGCAATAAAATGAATACATATAAATAGCTTTTTGAAAATGATAGAATTATTTTTAAATGTATTCTTAATTTTTGTGATCATTATCTGTCTGAACCTTGAATTTATATGTGACAAATATGTTAGAAAATAATTAAGTTTGACACAAACCCTACTTTTTTTTATATCACCAATGCTATGAAATATAGAACAATGTGCGATTTTAATACTGTGCCAATACAAATTGCAATGTGTGCTTTCAAATTCAATAAACAAGTATTGCAATTTTTTAATTAGTGCAAATAAAAATCATGATTTGTAATTTATAAATTTACAGATTGCCATGTGCGATTTTCAAGTCATAAGAATAAAAATTGAAAGGAAGCAAAAAGCACAATGTGAGAAGTAAAGTTTGGGTAAATTGAGATGCAAGTTTCGTATAAAGGATCAATATGAATTCTAAAATAAACATAAATCAATCAATATGAATAATAAAATTGAAAAACAATGTAATGAGTAGTAATGTAGGTGAGCAAGAATTAAAACTCAATTCAATGCAATGTGTCCATACGAATCGCCTATTTGCAATTTGCTTTAAGCAGATAATAAAAACGAATCTGAACATAATTGTGCGTAATCCGACAAAAATTATAGGTAGAAAATTAAACATAAACAGTAGAATAATTGATTCACCCAATTAATAAAAGTAAAATAATGAAAAGTTAAGTATTCAAGGTATTAAAATTAACACAGTGCAATAATTAAATTTAAATATTAAACATAACACATATTATCAAACGATTAAGCCTTTCTGTCGTCAGTGGTAATGCCAAAAACTGACTGTGCCCCGAGGCTCCATAATGGATAAACAAATAAGAAAAATTTAAATGTAAATGCAATGAAAAATTAATCACTAACAAACACAATTCAAAAGTACAAAGAGTAAGATTTAATAATGAAACACCCACAAATAAGAAAAATAAATAAAGATAAAGTTACAGTTAGAATAACCAAATCAAAATAAAATATAAATTGTGAAATCATTGAGAAAACGCTCAAAATAAATCAAGTGCTGACCCCTTTTGAAAAATAAAGCAAAAAACAGCAATGAGTAAAAATTCTAAAAAAGTGCAGCCATCTATATGCTTCAGGAACAAAAAATCCTTTTCTATATAGAATCTCAGATGAAGGCAAAATTGAAGGATTGAGGGGGGAATTTTGTACGAATGTTTATGGGGAAAAAAAAGCAGTTAACATTTTTAAAGAAATGTTAAAGCAGTTGATAAAATATGCTGATGGCACATACCAAAAAGCATAAACTTTCTTGTTGGGAAAGGGGCAGATTTTTGCTTTTGACGTGGCAGTATTTAATCTTAAATTTGCATTCACTATCAGACTACATCTGCATAAAATTCTAACCATCTAATTCGTGTCACATACGAACGTAATGTCATATTTAAGAACACAGAGGCATGAATTGAGTAAGATATTTTTTGGTCTAATATTATTAATTATGTTACCAATTTTTTGAGCACAATTCATTGGCAATTTCACTAAAGGAATGAAGAAAGTTTACGGCAAACTAAATTAGACAATTTACAAACATGCAATTATAAATAGAAATTAAACAAAACATCAAACATTAAAAAGATTTAGTTACCTTATACAAATGATCATTGAGTTTTTTGTATTCAGAAATATCATCACGCAACCGAGGAAGTAGAAGTTTGTTGTAAAACCTGAAAAGAAAAATAAGATTAAAGCATATATTTTTTTTTCTATGAAAAAAAAATTTATATTCTGATTAATTTTTTTTCTCTCAATTCATTATTATAGCAGTAGGATAATAGAGTGTGTAGCCAAATCTCTCAACAAAATATAAGGACCTTTCAAGCACTCAAAAAATATTTTTAAGCACCATATACATTAACAATATGCAAAATAATACTTTATATGATCATGATAAAATAACTAGTTTCTGAGAAAGAACTCTTTTCTTGATTACACTAGCCACCATAAAAAGATGGAGAGATTTTTTCGTTTCAATTTGAGAGGGTGGAAAATGAAGCCGGAAATTGAGAATATCTTGTAAAATACAGCAGAGTTGCACAGGAGAGTGTAATCATCTCTTCGAATGCAGCTCGGTAGACGCACATGCGGACTCTTAAGTATTTCATCAAACACGTAAAATGATCGGCGCTTTCATACGATATGGGCCGACGGTAGGCTGAAATAGACTGTGGTTGAATGAATTGTAAAAACGTTCATTAGAACAATGCAACGCTTTTGCATAACACGTGGGGAAAATCGACACAGTAAAGAAAAAAAAATCTCATTTTCGAAAAGGGAAAATTAAGCACTTTTTAAAAACACACAATTAAAAAAACCACCTTTAAGGGCTTTTAAAAAATGAAAATAAGCACCTTTAAGAACTTTTTAAAAACGTTAAGCACCATGGATAAGAACAGTTGATATTTTCAAAATGTGCAGGGAAATTTTTTTCTATATACATACTATATTGATCACTGGTCTAGTGGTTACTGTATTGGACTACGGGGCCAATGGTTGTGGGTTCGAATCCCACTGTAGGCATGGATGAAACTTTCTCTCTCTGTGAGTTCTAGGTCCTCTCTTCTGTGTGATTGTGCGAATGTAACCTGCCCTATAAACGGGTTTGTGGTTGTATGATGTGTGCGATGCTACTCCACCACCGTGGTTTAGCCACAGGTGGGTAAGGATAAGAGAATAGCAATTCTGGCATTTTTGAGGCCAATGGGATACAGACTTATGTTGCCCGCCATTTAATACATATATATTTATTGTAAAACAATTCTATAAAACACATGCATGTTTAACAGTTTTTATAATTTTAAATTTTTTAATCAGTAAAGTTCAAAACTAATTTCAAAGAAAAATAAGAGCAATTTAAGTTAAATATTATATAAGATATGGAACAAATGGTAAATTGATGAAGAAAAAAAAAAATAGCGCAAGTAATGTCTGGCAATTACCAGGAAAACTCTCTGTGAAGTTTAAAAAGTCTGTTCACTTTGCAAAGTAACTGGGATAGGGATCATTACCTAAAACCAACAGCTTGCAAATATTGCAATGGGTTTGCAAACGTTTTCTTTTTATAAAATAATATTTTTTACTATATTATTATGAGACACATAACTTAAATAATGAGGATTTTTACCTACGGAATGCTTGTTATTTTGGCAACATCCAGTAACTAAAAAGTTTACTCCAATTCAATTGATAATGAAACAATTAAAAAACTTCTTATAATTAATTCACAAAACATAGAAATTGTCGAATATTCGAGGGACCTCTTCTAAATCAATTTTATGAGTATATAAAATTAAACTCTGAGTAAAACTATTCAAAGCAATTAGTGACTAATATAAAGGCAAATAAAACCCTCACTTGAGTTTTACTTTTCTATTATAAATAACAATGGAATATCATGGAAAAAGAAACATTGACAATTTTTTTGCATAACAGAGGGGTCTTTGCAAGATGCTTAACTATATCACTTGACTATTACAGTGAAATTTTTCAACAAAATATAAGCACCTTTTAAGCACTCAAATATTTTTAAGCACCTAAAAAAATATCACAATTAGGATATGCTAACAAAAACAAAATTTTCTTCCCTGTAAGTTTTTCATAAATATATTAACCAAATTAAAATTAATTTCTAAAGACTTTATATGATCATGGTAAAATAACTAGTTTCTAAAGAAATCTTTTTTGATTATATTAGCCACCATAAAAAAAATGGACACACTTTTAAATACATTCAATATTGAGTGTCTCATTCTATTTCTTAAATTAATAATTAGATTATTTATTCATGTAAAAAAATTTAATTCAAATTTATAATTACTAAAACTATTATTTAAAATGTTATTGAATATATGTTTTAAATTTGAACAAAAGTTATTTATAAAAGTATGTTCAATATACATTAACAAGATTAATATTATTGATCATACTCAATTATAATTCACCAATGAAATTAACAAGAAAAATAAATTATCTTTTGCTATTAGGAGAAAAAATTGGCCTTATGTGGTTCCCCATTAGTCCCCGTGATCAGCAAAAATTCAAAAGACTTTTCTGATCAATTTCAGGACAGAAAATGAAGCTTGAGATTGTCTTGCAAAATGCAGCAGAGTTGCACATTAGGTGCAAGAACTCTCCCCATTGAATCCAGCTCAGTAAACGCACATGCTGCCCAGGAAGTAGTTCATCAAACATGAAAAATGATTAGTCTTCCTATCAGTAATTGGATTGAATTGAATTAAATGCAGGGTTTAATGACACAAGGTACAAAAATGAATCAATAATTGGGTAACACAAGTTGCAATAATGATACAACATGTGTCAAAAGGGGATATCTGGATATCAAATAATCTGGGTTTAACTTTTCAATTGAGTTTTTTTTACAACTCTACAAAAATTGCATTTTTTGCATTGTTATTTAAATTAAACTTTTATACAAATGATTAAAAGTTTTTCTCAATAATTTCATTTTCTTAGAAAGGGGAACATTTAAAAAAATTTTTTTATTAGATTTGCAATTTTCAGTTTTGAATTACTTCAAAAAATTAGTAGCATTTAATTTTAAAAAATATATTAGGTTGATAAATCCTTGAGACGATGACTGATAAAAATGACTATAGTTGCTACCAAAATATTTAAGTACAAATTGAAGCTTTCATTTTTTTTTTCAATCAATGCAAATTTTAAAAAAATGTAAGGTATATAAAGACTACTGCTAATGGATAGCTCCCAGCAAGTTTAACACACCATCCTACCATAACCAAGCTGTATTTCCAATAGCCAATGGTTTGACATTCCAACCTAAATTAGAAAACTCTGAGCTGAAAACATTGCATCAATCAGCAGGTGTAACAGGACAATATTCAAAAAAGTCAGTGGTTATTTCAAACCTTAAGAAAAAGGTCATTCTCAGCAAAATCGTGAAAAATCTACATATTACGAGAAAATTGTATTTTATTTTGAGAAAATCATAAATACTAGCTGCTTCTTCAGAATAAACAGTCCATTTTAACAGTACAGTATAACCATGATCATTTATTGCGAATAGACACAAAAGGACGACAAATGCAAGTTAACATAAAATATCAAACAATGACTTGAAAAGTAATAAAGTAAATTCGAAAATAATTACCCTTCAAAAGAAAAAAAAGATAAAGACATATATTTATTAAAAATATTAGGAAATTTTGCTTTCAACAGTTTCTTTAGTTCGACAGCCAAACAATAAAATTTCAACAATTGTAACAGGTTTCTGATTCTTTTTTTGTAAGCTTACATGAATACAGAAAATTCTTTATTTGTTCAAAGCTTTGAGACATGGGGATATGCTAGTTTCAAAAGCAGGTATTTTTAACATAATAAAAATAACATTTGCATGAGGATTGTTAAAACAAGAGGATATGTATGAGAAAACTGACTAGATCAAGGATTAACTGATTTTTTTTAAAAAACTTTAAATTAGTCGCTTAAGCGACTCAAATTTCTCCTAAAATAACCCCCGAAAAAAATAACTAACCTTTGAGCCATTTTTGCAGACAAATTTGAAGAAAATATCCTTGTTAATTCCATCATAGCTGCAGCAGTCCACTTATCTGGCTCCGTGAGATTAAGAAGCTGCTCCCAGTTTGCAAACTGCGGTAGGGCTTTGATTGGCTTTGGCAAAGGCCCAGCACGATATAACGATAGTAACTTAGCACAATCTCTGAACACAGTTATCATTTCTGGATTTGCTTCTCTAAACAAATTTGATGAATCTAAAACATGGCAATAACATGAATTTTAATTAACACTTCAACACAACACCTTAATAAACACTTCAACACTTGCATTGTTATAAACTAAAACGTAAAGGCAGTAATATAAAATTATGCAAAAAAAAATTTCTTCTCTCATTTCAATGCTAAATTAATTCTCCTGAAATGTCTTTAAAGCATCTTTGCTCTTCACTTCATACCTACAATTATTGGAGAAATAAAAGAAAGGAAATTTTACTAGCGAGATTTTTTGGGCTACGAGTGAAATTTCGCTTCATCGTGCATAATCATGTAAGTCAAAAAGAGAAATTCAAAATTGGAAATAATATAAGCACTTTCATTTAGCAAAGTAAAAAATAAAATATGTTTATAAATCTGAATGTGAAGAAGATTTTTTGAACCATTATTTATAATTACTTAAATTATAAATACTCAACATACTGCAGCACTGGCAATAGCACAATCTGTTGAGAAACTCTCTAATGTTCTTTTCTTTTTAATCTATCCTTATTTATTGGTCAGTTACAAAAAGTTTTTTAAGTCCAGTTTATATGTTTAAGATAAGGATTCATATCATAAAAAACAATAAGGATTCAGTTCATTTTGATTAAAACATTTTATCTTGAAAACACTAAAATTAAATAATGCTTTAATACAGTAATAATTTATACACAATGATTACAGAAAATTGTATTTTTAAAATAAACTAAAAAATTCAGAAAAGCACTTCATTCCCACTTACAAGCATAATATAATATTTAACACTGTTTTTCTTTCTCTTTTCCCTTCATAAAAAAAAAAACTATTTTCCACTACTTTTACTTTATCCATAACTAAAAATATTATTACGCCATTTCACTACTAAAGAATCAATCATTATCTAATGACCTTCCTTTATATTTGCAAAGGAAGAAAAAAAAAAAAAAAAAAGCTCCTCTGAAATATTTTGAGGGCAGAATCTTTCAATTTTTTTTTTCGACTCAGGTTTTGAGACCCCACAAGTTGAATACTCAACTCCGTTTCACTTCAAAATATTCCTTTCTTCTTCAAAACAACTTGGACCCTATACTTGACGCAACTGCCTTAAAAAAAAAAAGAGGGGGAACCAGTCATCGAGAATATGATTTCATAGGGCCCCCCTAGCAGAATTTTTTTTTAGCTTTCTTCTAAAATGAAATTGTCAACGGAAATGTGTCGATAATGTCATTTTGGTTCAACACGCAAAGAAAAAAAAAACTTTTGGTATGTAAGCAATTCCATTTTGGCATATACTATGTCAACAAACATGTCTGACAGAGCATGTAAAAGAAGTGAGATTTTTAGAACTCTGGTATAAAATATAAGCATATTAAAATAAATATAGTAAAGAATTTGAGTTGCCTGGGAAAATGGTGCTCATTTCAGTTTGTTTCTCAGTCAGTTTCTCTTTCATTATGTCAGCAAGTGCAGCTCTTTTAGATGGATCATGTGGCATGAACATTTCAAGTGCTTTCTCATCTTCCTGACTGATTTCCTATTAATCATTACATAATAAGTTATCTCGACAAAGAATAGATTTATCAAAAAAAAAAAAAAAAAAAAAAAAAAAAAAAAAAAAAAAAAAAAAAAAAAAAAAAAAANAAAAAAAAAAAAAAAAAAAAAGAAAGAAAGAAAAAAGAAATGCATGAATCAAGTTAAATACTTACATCAAAATAGAAAAAATACAATATTTCCCAGTTATGATTGACATTAAAGATACTAGAAATGTTATGTACTATAATGTACTAGTATGATACTAGAAATGTTATACTTGTAAAATCAAATCCCCGAGTAAACTCGGGTATCAATATATTGCAAATATTTATTATCAGGAGTCTGTCTAGGTTTTTTTGAGAGGTACCTATTTTGAGAAAATTTAGACATTTGTAAAAATTAAATAAAAAAATCAACACAAAAACATGAATTTGTTTCTTACGGGATACAAAAATAGAACTTTAAGAAAAAGTATTTTGTGAAGCTACCATTTTTCCTAAAGTTGAATTTGCGAAGGTACAGCTAAACAGAGGTAAATTTGGCCTGGGCAGACTCCTGATTATCCCGATAAACTCGGGCATAGCAGAATTCATCAATACGTTTTGTTTTATCATATTTTTATTCGGCCGGAAGCAAAACAAAAAAGAATAATAATCTGCTGTGATTGGAGGTTTGCCAACATTTGTTTGGGAGTTGTGCTATTTGTGGGACTGCGGACAAGTTTTGTACAATTGTATAAACGATGGTTGATGGATTTACATAAAAAAAGAGTAAAATAATAGCGTTGGTGAGTGAAAGTACTGCAGATGATTTTTCAGATTATTAGGACATATAAAAAGAATAATATTTAACTTTTTTCATATGCCCAAGATAATTTAGGATAGTAAACTGACGACAAATTATAAAATGTTTATGCTTAAAAAAATTTTTAAATTTCAACTTAAAACCTGTGTACAATATTTTATTTCCTTGTATTTATTAATAAAATTTTAAAAAATGCTGATTTTTTTGCATTTAAAAAAAAAAATGGTAAGGGAAGCAGTTAATTTTCAGAATCTTGTAAATAGACTAGCTGAACTCGAAAACAAAATGTTAAGCACACAAAAATTTCAGAAATTTGATAGCAGAAAGTATCCTACAATTTTTTCAACTTCTTTAAATCCGTCAGCACTCGAACTAACTGCAAAACCATTTTTCTGTGTCTCTTCTAATGAATCACAGCCGCTGAGCAATGCAGATATTGCAGCAGATGAATGTGGCCTAAATATAAAAATATTAACATTTTGGTAAATTAGAAATATAAAGTGCACTTTACTTTTACACATTTAATTTCAAGGAAAAAATGAGTAAAAATTAGAACAAGATATTTTATATGAAGCAAATTTTAAACTTTTTATAGCATATAAACTGATTACAACTTTAATTGAAATTTGAAGAATAGTTATAAAATGTTCTTATACAAGGTTTATAATTCTAGTTCTTTCACATTACTCTCATTATTTATAGGTCTGCACCTGCCACCTCAAAACAAGATTAATATTAGACTAAGTAGCATGGCACTAATTAATCAGAAGCTGGGTGGGTTTCTAAGTGCTACTGATGATCAAACACAGCTTAGCGCCTTAACCACTGCGCTATCACAGCCGAACCTCGTTAAGGTGAACTAATTTTTGATTCCCCCTTAAAGTTTATACGGACATAATATTTAGAGTACCAGTGTTTTCACTACAGCGCGAGAATGCGAGAATCTCACAGATTTTTTTATATTCTCGCATTAAAAAATGATTACCGCAAGAAATTCGTGCATTCTATAAACCAATTTCAAAATTCGCGAATTTCTCGCATTCTGAAAAAAATTTCTAATTTGCGCCATTTAGAATAAAATCCGTTTCACTTTTCTTCCTGGATCTTTTATTATTTTTAACATCTGCCCCATTATCTAGCTTCCCTATTTACCAGTATTGTTCAGAACCNGATCCAAGAGGTAAGCTAGGAAATGAGCTGGTGTTAACGCTTGTTCATATCGTTTAGTAAAAAAATTTTTGCAGCAATTATTATTAGAATCTTTCAGAGTTTCCTTTAAATTTTTCCAGATGTTGACAACATTTGATAAACTACAATTATCTTTTTGCATTTTATCTAATGCTACAGAAATGGGTTTTAACATTAAAAGCATATCTTCTGCATTTCTTTTAATTGCCATATTCATGACTTTTGATTAAAATCAGTGATTTTTTTAAAAAAATCATTTGATTTAAATCATGATTTTAATCAATGATTATAATCATTTGATTAAAATCATTTACACCCTGCTCAAAACAAGATTAATATTAGACTAAGTAACATGGCACTAATTAATCAGAAGCTGGGTGGGTTTCTAAGTGCTACTGAGGATCAAACAAAGCTTAGCGCCTTAACCACTGCGCTATCACAGTCGAACCTCGTTAAGGTGAACTAATTTTTGATTTCCCCTTGAACTTCATACGGACATAATATTTGGAGTACCTACAACGAAAACACACTTAACGTCCATCTTTTAAGAGACGAAAATAAGAAACAATATTCCCTGCATTTTCCCAGTTTGTAAGGAAAAACTCAAAATCCCCAGCATTTTCCCTTTTATTTAATGAAATTTTTAAATTCTCTGTATTTTCAAGGTTTTTATGCAGAGTGGCAACACTGAGCAGCCAATTTTAAATGTCTGCTTAACTTTCAGAAAAAATTGCCTTATACCAGCATCATTTTTTTAAAAAAAAATTTCTTGATGGCAATTTTGTTTTAAACTTTATATATATAATACACACTGTAAATCCACAAAAATTTTTTAAAATTATTTTTTAGTTTGAAGTGAAAAGGTTTGTAAAATCAACTCTGAAAGTTAATTATAGTTTGTCTAAATTAAGAACTCCCCCAGACATTCGTCTGGACCTATGGAAATGAAGTATGACTATTTCAAGAAGGGGTGCGGGGTACTTGTTTTGTAGTGGTTTCGGCTCAGGTCGGAGAAAGGGAATCGCTTTCTTCCGTCTATTGTGTTAGCCCCCAGAGTGAAGCTACCCTCCCTAAAACGTGCCGTTCTTATTTCCATAGCGCCAGGCGGCCTCAGACTTTGTGGGGGGAGGAGTTCTTAGCTTAGACAAACTATAGTCACTATGGAATGACCCTTAAGTATAAGGTTTGACTAAATTTTGATGAGATTATCAATCTTAAAAGCAGCATGGAAATTTTTTTAAAAATAGAAATAAGATATATTTCAGACTAAAGTAAATAAGTAAGAAAAAGTTTTTCTATAACTTACAGGCTTAAACCTACTTCTTCCTCTAAATCTTCTTGTTGTTTTCTAGCTTGTTCCAAAATCTTATGGGTTAGCTTACTATCAACAAACTAAATGAAAAGTAAAAAAAGGAAACAATTAGGTTATCCTAAAAATGAACAAAATGCTTTTGAGAAAACTATCTTATCTGGGTGGAATGATAGCAGGGTTGGCAAGTTTTTTTTGGCAGTTTACAATTAAAACCTCTGTTTTACCGGTTTTAACAGTCAAAACCTTTTCACAACAGACTTTTTGACTATGGTCAAAATCCCAAAATTTTGGTGAATGGATTAATTATTAGCTATTATAAGCATGTATTTATATAATTAAATATAATCATATAAATACATTATGTAAACCTTGTGGCAGAATCTTTTTGGGCTTCCTGCTTCCCTAGCACTAATATTTTGCTTTATGATACTTTTAATTATAACAATTACTAATTTAGAGTAACAGAAACAATTTGTTTACAAAAGAAAGTAAAAAATGAAAATGTATTAAAAATTTTTAATTGTAAAAGTAATATTTTTTAAATTCTAATATTATACAGGCGATATTCTAGCATTTTATAGGCGGAAAAATGCACCTATAATTTCTTCTTTTGAATTTTGTAAATCATTACACAAATTAAAATTGGTACATGAATTAGACGATAATAAATTAAAATTTGTCGATAAATTAAAAATCATAAAATCTGTCCAGAAACTCCCAAAATAAAGACCGACAACGAAATCACGTGAATAAGATTCGTTAAAAAAGAGATATTCAATTAGGTGTTTTAAAAACATGGTGTTATTAAAAGAAAGAAAGAACATCATTTCTAGAGAAAACTATCTTTTAAACTTTTATGGTTCTGAATTTTTTATTTCATATTTATTTGAAATTCTAGCTGAAGCCAGTCATAACAGATTTTTTCAAAAAAAAATAAATCTGAAATGAGAATAGAAACATCACGCATATTCCTTTCCTCTCTGATGCGAAAAAAAAAAAAATCTTTAAAAAAAAAACATTATTCGAAAAATTTTGTAGAAAAGAAAAGCAAAAATTTCCCCTTCTCAGATGAAAATTCTTTCTGCAAAAATTCTGCAACAATGTCGCTATGTGATCGCAATTCTGCCACAGGGTATACATTATATAATTAATAAGCATGTATATATGTATAACTTATAAATTACTATACACATAAAATCACATGTGATCAATCAATTATGTTATACATTACTCTATACATTAACAACACATAAAATAATTTTCAAAGACATTACATAATCATGATAAAATAACCAGTTTCTGTCAAAGAACTCTTTTTTTTTATTTTCATTACTCAATACATTAACAACACATAAAATAATTTTCAAAGACATTACATGATCATGATAAAATAATCAGTTTCTGTCAAAGAACTCTTTTCTAGATTATATTATCTATTATAAAAAGATGAAGAGGTTTTTAGGTTCAATATTAGGCGGTCGAAAACGATGCCTGAAATTCAGAATATCTTGCAAAAAGCAGCAGAGTTGCACAGGAGAGTGCAAGAATCTCACCAAATCCAGCTCAGTAGACGCACATGTGTACTCCCAAGTATTTCATCAAACATGTAAAATGATTGGCGCTTTCATACACTACAGACCGAAGGGAGGCTGAAATAGATTATGATTGAATGAATTGTGAAAACGCTCCCTGTGGCAGAATTTTCTTGGGATTTCTGCGACAAACCTCTCTAGCACTAATATCTTTCTGCAAGATGCTTTTAATAATAACAAGTATGCATGTTACTAATTGAATTTGAAGTAACAGAAACGTTGCGTTCACAATAAAAAAAAACTTTTGAATAAAATAATTTAATTTTTAAATGAATATGTAATGTTTTTTTTTAATATATATATATTATTCTAATACAATGGCGAGATTCTTCCATTTTGTACGAAGAAATCACACTAATTATTTCTTTTTTCGCTTTTCGTAAAACATCATCTCATCAAAAAAAAATTAAAAATCTTGTAATCCGTAGCAGTGACTGCTGAAAACAAGATCGACAGCGAAATCACGCTGATCGGACTCTTCAAGGTGGAGGGGGGGTACTAAATGCTTGTTTCGTTTCGAGATTCGGTTGTAATAAATATCGTATTTAAAATATAGGATTTTAAGGACTGTGTGAAATAAATGCCCCCCCAGAAAAAAAATAAAAACGATAGAATCATTGTTTTAAAAATTAAATATTCATAAGCACGATTCGAATTCCCCATATTGTCAGAAATATATCGGGATACTTAAAAATCACGGGAAAATCAATATCAATAAACTGCCGAAAATACAATCTAAACACTACATGGATTTGTGGTAGTATCGGCATAAAGTGAGAGCGTCAAAAAGAGATTATTTAATAGCGCAATTTAAATTTTACGTGTAGAAATAATATTGACTAAAAAATAACAGGAATTTTAAAAATCCCATGGAATTCAGTAGCATAGCACATGTAATAAAAAGCCGAAAAACGGTGAAATCGTCACAGTAAAAGTAAATAATTGATTTCAGTTTCGAGTATAATTAAATTGTATAAAAAACATCGGGATTTGTTTCGCTTAAAAACATGAACATAGAGCGTGGATTAACAAGAATATTGGCGCAAAATAAGGTATCAAAAGAATGATTTCTGGAGGGAAAAAAATTGTTAAACATTTCTGCAGAAAAGAAATTTCTTTCTTTATTATTCAACATTTTTCATTCTTAAATTAGAATAGAAAAATCAGGAACATTTCTTTCCTCTCTGATGTGCTAAAAAAGCATCTTTTAATTATAATTTTCGAGAAAAAAAAATTTCTGCAGAAAAGAAAACCAAAATTCCTTACTTCCTAACAGAAAATTCTTTCTGCAAGAACTCAGCAACATTCTGCGACAATGTCGCTGTGTCGACGCGATTCTGCAACGGGGAAAACGCTAAATAGAACAATGTGAAAAGTGCGCTTTTGCATAATATGTTGGGAAAATCGGCATGGTAAAGAAAAAAATCTCTAACTTAATTAAACTCTTGAATTGATTGATTGAAAAAATTATTAACTCATTTAAACAAACATGTATGTGTTTTCTGCAAATTATAATTAGTTTTTATCAAGGAATATATTATAGACATGATTTATTAGAAGTTGTAGTTAATTTACGTTGCACCAGAGCTGCACGATGAGCTATTGGCGACGGTCTGGGAAGCACCCCTGAGGATGATCCGAAGACATGCCATCATAATTTTGATCCTCTGCAGAGGGAATGGCACCTCCGCTTCGGTAGCCCGATGACCTGCACGCGAAGTCGAGCACTTTATGGTAGAACAGTTTAACGAGAACCAATACAGCACACCCTCGGTCCCTACGCAGACTGATCCAAGTGGTTACCCACCCGCACACTGACCATAGCCAGTGATGCTTGACTTCAACGTTCTGATGGGAACCGTGTCTTAACGATCAGTCCACTGCGGGACTGATTTATTAGAAACATTCATGCTCATTCATTAGAAATACTCATGTCAATACTCCAGGATTGCAGAAAATTCTCAGAGTTTAATATTTCTTCACAACAAAGCTTTCTTTGAATCAAAATTTCCCAAAAATTTTAATGTATTAAATTAAATTTAAGATCCTTCTCATAAATGTGAAGAATTTGAACTAATAAATACACAAATTGCCATGTTTTTTAAACAAGGAAAAATTTTGAATACATAAAAATAATGTAAACATATAGAGTCCTCCCTAGGAATAAAAAAGCACGGTTACTCGTAGAAAAGGGTACTTTGAGTTTTGATAGGGCACTAACTTATCACTGTTAAAATTTATCAAAATATGTTATATTACATAATAACTGAATTCGATTTTCAATTTTTAAATAACACTTTTATAATATTTTACGTGTATATTTCATAAAGTAATTCTCACACATTATCAAAATTATAAAAAAAATTTGAAGCTTTTGAAAAATAATTAAGGGCAAGTGAAAAATTCTGTGAACAAATTTTCTTAAAAAAGGGGAAATGTAAACTAAACAAAAAGGGATTAACTGATAAACAACTTCAAAGTTTTTTTTTTTTTTTTTTTACATTTTAAACTGAAAATTATGAGAAAATAAACATTTTTAAATAAAAAAGTATTTTCTTAAATAAATTAAATGGTAAAACTTAAAATCACTAGAAAATTCATTAATATATCCCCTTCGCAAAAAGACATGATTATTTCCGAGTCGGAAGAATTTTAGCTATAGATATAATTAGACAACATAAGAAAAAATGTACTAAAATGAAGGAATGAAATTAAAGCTAAATAATTATCAATAACAAATTAAATCAGAAATGGACTTCTCATTGACTCAAGTGGTTAAGAAAGCAATCTATTCTTGCAAAAATAAATGAAAAGTCAATCTTTCTAAGGGATGGCAGGTTACTTTTTACAATAAGGGCGCATTAATAGGGATTAAAGTGCATGCGGGGCAGCCTGACCTTTTAAAAATGCTTAGGGAGAATACTGCATATACAAATATAATGTGAAGTATTAATACTATAAAATAATTAATTAAAAATTTCAATCTTATAATAAAATAAATTTTTTAAAATAATAAATTTTAAAAACAATTATCTAAATTTAACTATTATTAGAATTATATATTAACAAATGAATAAAAAAAGCATGATAAATTATTATAGATATAAATAATGACAATTCATTAGTACATAACTTTTAGTATTCTTTAATATTATATAGCCAGGGGTCTGGCTAGACATTTTGTAAAAGGTCTGTTTTTGTAAAATTGTGAAAAAACTACACATAATTTGTGAATATAAAATAAGTGTTAAGTCACATTCTTTCAACCAGGGTCCCGCTTTTGTGCAAATAGGGTCCTGTTATTGAAAAAAACCTTTTCAAGAAGTCTGTAAATTGTAAATAGATACAAGATTCTGCTCAACAATCGCTGCTACAAAATTAGAGATGTAACACACAAATATTTGGTATTCAGCCTATACTGCTCAACACAGAACTATTCATTTCGGACGAATAATGGAAACAAAATCACTCACATTTCCAATAATTTCAATTGACAAATTTTAAATAACACAAATTAGTTATGTATCACTGTTAATGTTTTACACATTAAATAAACTTAAACAATTCTTAAATTTATAATATTTTATGTAAAAAATTATTCATCCGAAACGAATATTCTGTGTTGAGCAGTATAGGCTAAATACCAAATATTAGCATGTTGCATCTCTAATTTAGTAGCAGTAATTATTGAGCATAATCTTGTATCCATTTACAATTTAAAAACTTATTGAAAAGGTTTTTTGCAATAACAGGGTCCCATTTGCACAAATTCACAAAAGCAGGACCCTAGTTGAAAGAATGTGATTTAACGCTTATTTTATATTCACAAATTATAAGTAGTTTTTTCACAAAAACAGGATTTCACAAAATGTATGGACAGACCCACGAGAAAGATTGGTCCACTGTACCACGTAAGTGGGGCATAGATGACAGTTTCGTAACTGCTCACAATAAAATTTTTTCAAAAACAATGATGCATTGCATTTATTGCACATTAGGCACGATAAGGAAGATTTAAAAAATGTTTGATTATTTTTCAAGCATAGCGTATTGTTAATTTTGCTAAAAAAAAATTTAATGCAAAAGTGGACCATTGTGCCCTATCCCCCCCAACAAGCAGTAGCAAAAACAAGAAAATTTTTGCAATGCACTTAACTAAATCTATTTCATTTCACAAGCAAACCTGACTGAAATTTTTTTTTTTTATCTAAACACAGAGCAAACAAGTTTTTAAACCAAGAATGTCACTTGAATCTTTTATGTTAATTTAATATTTTTAATTGTAAAAGAATAAATTAAAAAAAATTTTTTTTTTCAATTTCTAAAAATTATATTATATTTATTTATAAGAAATATGCCAAACAATGAGAGTGGAGATAGCTATCAGGTATATTATTTTTGGATAAAATTGATATCTTTGAGAAGTGTGCGGAATACACCAAATTTTAGGGGTAGTTACAGGGGTCTGTCTAGGTTTTTCTGAGAGGTACCTATTTTGTGAAAATTTAGACATAATTTGTAAAAATTAAAAAACCAACAAAAAAATATGGATTTATCATTTCTGTCGGGATACAAAAATAAAATTTTAAGAAAATGTATTTTATGAAACTACTGTTTTTCCTACAGTTGAATTTGTGAAGGTACCGTAAACAGTAGTAAATTTGGCCAGGACAGATCCCTGAGTTACCGGGTATTAAATTGGTGGCGTGTCACTCCTTCATACACCAAAGCGATGAACAAAACAATTAGATATCAATTTTTGAAAAATATACTCATACTTTGTTGCCTCTATTTTACATTTTCCCATGGAAAGCGCAAAACGTCAGATGGAAAACGTAAAATCGGGATTGCAAAGAATATAAATTTTAAAATTAATATTATAGATAATCAGAAAATGTTTTTTTTTTCTTCAAAAAAGTAGATGCGAGAAACTTTTAATTTTCTGGTACTACACAGAATTTGATTTATTCTTTAACAATAACAATCGTATATATCATTATAGTTTTGTTATTTTTGTCCTTGTACCCCCAGAATTCTGGAAGAGATTGGTTCTTGGACAAGAAAAACTCAACCATCTTAGCTGGAAACAATTGATAACTAATGCAAAATCTATACACATATTAAATAAGATAGTTAAATTAATAATCACCAAATTAATAATCATTCAACTTTATTGTCATATGACATAATACATCTATACAATGAACGTTTAACAAAATCAAAAACTTATAGATCCACTAATTCATATCCATTGTTAAGTTTTTGGCTTTAACGCAACTTTTAATCCCGTCAAGAGGAATCCGCCATGCCCACGCATCGTATAACAGGGATGAGTCCTCTCGGGCATGACCTGAAACTTCCGTAACCAAGTATCAGAAATGTTTAGCAGAATTATATCACCTCTTGCTTTAAGTTTCACATAACAGTCTACCAAAGGCTCTTGGTACATAGAAAATATCGCAAATGGTCGTGAATCTGATAAAAAGTCTAGCAAGGACAGCACATTAGCTGGGTGGTTTTTCACTGCAACTAAGAGTCCGTCCATATTTTTTTGTCTTAAGATTGCTTTCGCATCATCGATGTGTTTCTTCTTCTTTTGCGCCTTCTCTGTGACATGAGACACACCGAGCGAACCGTTATCCGAATAGTCCACAATCATGTCTTCCACGTCGTCTTCTAAGAGCGATATTGCAGATTTTAGATCAATGTTGAAATGTATTGCTTGAAGTTGTTCTTCAGTAATGCTCAAAGCTTGCACAACTTGAGGGTTTGGCTGAATAGAAAAAGGTTTCATGTGCAGTTGGACAGCAAAACCCTCAACACCCAGTTTATCGATAACAGCAGTGACTAACAAATCCATCACATTCTCAATCACCATATATTTACCACCAGACATAACATTACAAAAAGTTATCATCTGCGAGAGGGAATCCATTCTCAAGTTACTTATTTTCAAAGGAGCTTGGGTGTTATACATGTCAGCAAGCAAGCGAACATTTGGCTTCAATACTTTGATATATTTCAAGTATTTCTTTTCCTTCTTCTTCAGATATTTCTCTTTCGCAAAAACAGTCTTCTCGTGAAATGAAGTACTGTTTTCGACAATTTTTTGCACGACTTCTTGTCCAGACATGCCAGAAGCCTTGAAGGTCTCAATATCGTCCGTCGTCAATTTCTGATTATTGCCGTTGTCAAACAAAGATCGATTGTCCTTCGTTTCTTCGGGTGAAATAACATCTATGCGGACGGATTTTAAGGCTTCCGAATTCGAAACTTTTATCAAATCACCGTTCTGTTTAATTTCAAAGAAAGAACCGAAAGGATGACCGATAGCGGCACATAAGTTAATTTTTCGTTTCATTAAAAACTGTGGCTTTTTTTTATCTAAATGCACCAATCGCAAAATACAGTCAGTTTTAAGAATGACAAAATCCCCTTTCTTAATTAACTCACTCTCGCTACTAATAGAAGTCATTTTTAGATTATTTACAAATTAACCATACCAGGCACAGATATCAACTAAACCACGTGTGGTGGCAATAATGGCCGATTTACTTACCTCCTCGTCTTCATCTCGGCGACTTCGTTGTTTTATTCTGGTAGATGGCTTGGCATAACGCGATCCGATTATTTGCTGGTCTAGAGCTTCTTGGCGACTCGCTCTTTCGAATTTTTTTTTAATTTTACCCATTTTTAATTAAATTTTAATTCAAAATTAAATTACATAAACATTAGATAGGAAGTTACGGACACGGTTACGTTGGTGCTGATGTGATTAAAATACGAAGTCACGAATACAGTTACAACATATTTCAAAATCTGTTAAAGATAGGTTGATTGAATGTAAAAAATCAGGCTTCATAAGACCGGAAAAAATCAGGAGAACTTCCGGTATGAGGTGATGTGTGAACAAGTTAAATACTCTAGGAAGTTTTTCGATGTGATTCATGTTTAATTTTGAGCGTAATTTTACTATTAATAAGAGTTCCCCGTAATTTATAAATTCTACCTGATTGTGAGCCTAAAATAAATTTAAGAAAATTAATATCCCAACATAAATAAATTGTAAGGTTTGCCGCGTTTTGAGTATTTTCCCTAATTTGGCTATTTTTGTGTAAAATATCACTGTCAGTCATTTTTTGGGCCACATCTTGCAGGTTACAGAGCATAGCAAGCTTGCGGAGTCTTCCATGTTCTTAGATTTCAATAAATGTGTTGTTATTAAAAGACCATTGATGAGGCTATTTTATTTTCTGCACAAAACTTTAACATTTGTCTTAAAATTAATATGACAAAAATATACTAGAACTGATTTATGATTGATTTACAATTTATGAACAAATTACAGAGAAATAATTATGGGGAGGAGCAAAAAGACGTAACAAAAAGCTTTGCCAAGAAAACCAATCCGCACGCTCAAAATCTCTCTTTACAAACTGTAGGTGCAATGGTAGGTTACATGCGGCCGGTTCCATCTCTTGACCCTCATCTTTACCTCTCCTGCTCTTTTCAGTTGTAATGGAATAAAATTCGATATTTTCCCCTTTCATAATATTTATATACACTGGTTATCATAAATTAAGGAAAATTCACAAAAATCGCGATAACTCAAGAAATTACACATGGAATTTTATGAAACTTACCCACAATATACAACACATAGTAAGGTATTAAACAACATAAAAAGAAATTATCAGACATTAATAGTAGTATAGAAATTAGCACATGTATAAAATAAACAAATTGGAAGTATCGGTTTGCAATAGAAAAAGTACCTTTAATCAGTGGCGTAGCTAGGTAACCAAGGGCCCTGGGGCAAATTAAAAATTGGGGCCCCACTTCTATGTAAACTGATTAGGTTTTATCAAATAAAAATATGAAATATACAAATACTTTAAAAATGCTAAGCTACTTAAGCTCTTTTTTGTGCACTTCAGGGCAGGTAATAAAAATATTAAACAGTAACAACATAAATTACAATTAATACTTGGTGTAGGTTTGGCTAATAAAGTGAAATAGAGAAGATTCAAGGGTTTATTATATAAAGGTCGGGCCTACCAACTGACTAAATAACAATTATATTTACAATTTTTTCCTAGCTTTAGTTTTCGCAAAAGTATCAATGACTTCGTTTAAATCCAGGCTTGATGCGGTTTTGTTTTCAATTGCTATTAGCGATAAATGTCGGAGTCGAGTTTGGTCCATATTATTTCTTAAATAATTTTTTATTATTTTTAANAATTTTTCCTTTTAGGTTGTTCCCGTGATTCTATTTATTTATTTATTTTGTGTTTCTTTATATATATATATATATATATACATATTTAAATTTTCATGACACTTTCTTCATCTATGACTGTCCACAAGCAAATGGCGAAAGCATACGAAGTGTTGCTATAGGTAGAGAGTTCTGCTCTATGTAGCCCATTTCGATCGACAATTAAGGATGGTTTTATTTTGTACTATAATCGTCGTTGGACACAGCCTTCCCAATTTTTGGGGTTTACGACTACTAATGTTCAACTCCGTAGCCTTGTAATTTTGAACCCAATCCAGAAGAAAAGGAAATTCTTGGATTAAGTATTGGGAGAGTTTAAGTATTGGTAAGTTTCTCCCAATACTTGTCCCCTTGTCTTCTGAATCGGGTTCAAAATTACAAGATTACGGAATTGAACATTGGTAGCAGTAAACCCTAATTTGGGTCAGCTTTTCAACGACGGTTCTAATATCTTCAACAGAAAAATAAAATCCCTAGGGATTCTAAGTAACATGTAAACATTAAAAAAGCATGCATAGGAAGAAGTTCTGTTTTTTTCCAAAAAAAAAAACCCCTCAAAACTCTATAAATAATACAGATAGAGAAATAAATTTTTTTTCATTGTTTGGAATTATTTGAAAATTTAATGTAAGAAATAAATAATTTTTCAATACTTTTGCCTATATTTGAAGCGTTTAAATTAAATTATGAAATCTAACAATTGATTTCAATGCCATAAAATTTCATTTACTACTTCACAATAAGATTCACTAAAGCAATTTATGTGTAAGATAGAATTATGCTATATGAAGCTTAAACAACATTTTCATTAAAATTAAAATAAAATTATTTCCTAAAGCAACTTAAATGACAAACAATGAACACAATTCCTATTTTTTATTCTTATCACTGAATGCATAAAAATTTTTCTGCATTCAAGTAAAATATTTATAGAATTTAAATCAGATAATAGTTCACTAACTTTAAGAATAAATAAGCTTAAAGTGCCAATCGACATTTTTATTAATTTTTCTTCTAAAAAAGAAAAAAAAAAGCTAAACTTTTTAAAATTACCAGTTTTTTAAATAATAAAAATTTCAGCCTTTTAATGATATGGTAAATTTATTTAGGAGATTATTTTGGGCCTGAATTCAAGAATATTTTTACATAACAAATGAAGTTCAAATTTTTTTTTATTTCACTACCAAAAGTTTAACAAAAGTACGAATGCTTTGTTAATCTTATAGTATAATATCCACTAACAAGCAATAAACGTACTTGACACATTGTAATTTTTAAATACGTCTTCTTTTATTATGTAGTTCAGAAGCTTACTCCAAAGTCTGCAAAAACGAACATTAAAAAATAAAAGTTACTTGGTTTTGCTAACTGACAAATGTTGCATTTTTCTGTTGAAGATAGAACTTTAAGGTATTTTTTTTTCATAATCAGCCTGAAATAAAATTGTGCATTAAATAAGCATTTTGAAAATCAAAATTGTTACAGCATGTTATTTATATCTACATTATAAAATGAATTTTGTGAATTTTGTTTCTTTTTAATTTTGCATTTACGGAACCATAGATAATGTTATAATTGATATGCGAGCAAATAAATACGCAGATTTACTGCAGAAACCATAATGCTAATTTTTTTAATGAAAAATATTGCTGAAAACAACTTTAAAGGTCTAAAAATTGAGAATTTTGTATATATACATTTTTCAAAATTTTAAATATTTGAGCCATGTAACTAATTTTTGAAAATTAATTGATTTTCAATAAAGTGTGCATGTTATGCAACTGAAAAGGTGTTTATTTTAGGGTTATTTAAAGAGAATAATAATTGTTCTGGGGATATTTTAACTCCTTAATCATTGAGAAGTTAGTTTTTTTTCAGATTTTAATGAGTTCTGGAATTTTATTTGTAACAATTTTTTCTCATATTTTTCTTTACAGTGTAATACCACCATCCTAAGTACCACCTGGGAAACTACCATGAGCTCCATGGAATGAAATTCAATCTGGAAATGACGTAACGTTCGAACGGGAATTATTTTTCCCAGAATAGTTTTTTAGAATAGTTTGCCCCAGAATAATTTTTTTTATTCCCTATCCCTCTTATCAAAGGCGAAGATTAAAAAAGTTTATTATGGGTTGCAAATTGATGCTTTCGTGAATGAAAACAAAAACCATCGAAATCTGACAAATTAAAGTAGAGGGTGGTAATTGAATGAAACACTTAAACCTAAGTACCCATTTTTGTATAAATTCATTTTTGTGGAATTTGTAAATCTTAGACCCATTGTAATTATTACAATCATTTCTGCATGGATGCAAGATTTTTTTCCCTTTAATGTTTTTAAGTGCAGTTTTTTTAAGTTTAAATCCGACTAATATCAAGCAAAATTTCCCTCGCCATTGAGACTTTAAATTTTTTTGCCCTTTGATTGATTTTTACTGAATTTTAGTTTTGACAGTGATAAAAAACATACCTTCATGATGGAAATTTCTAAGATTTACTTAATACTCTTCCGAACGAACGAATTGCGCCTATATAGACCCATGTCAAAAATCTTGATGGTCCAATCAAAAAAATTTGACGGTTTATGCTGGTTTTAAAGCGATTCATGATGGTCCAACATCATTTGATGGTCATCATCATCCAATATTTCCATTATGCGTGCATGGGTTTTGATATGCCAACGCCTCCATCATTCCATGATGGAAAATACTGCTTAAATACTGTGATGGTAAACCATCAAAGGAAGTTTGACTTTCATGGACCAACAATCCATGATGATCCATGATGGTTTCATCTATACATTTACATGATGGTTTAATGGGAATTCTTGTTGGTTGTTCTCAGGAATATACCATCAGAACAATTTGTTTTTTTTTAAATCTTCGACCATCATCAGTCCGAATTCCTACATTGGGATGGCGGTTGTTCATGATCGTTCCAACATTTGATTACTATGGAAATTCGTGATGGTTTAACATAAATAAACCATCAAAACAAGTTGCTATTCTTATGTTGGTCATCATAAATCCATCCAAATTCCTACATTGAGGTGATGGTTACTTATGTTGGTTACCATCAAAAAATATAATGGTTCATGATGGAATTATTGATGGTTATCATCTATATTATGTTGGCCCATCAATGGAAAACCATCAAAAATTTTGACTTGAGAAAGTTATCCATCTCCCATTTATTAACAGCTGCAACTAACTATTGCCTAGCTGGGAGATCTCCCCGAACATCTGGCAAGTTATAAGAATAACTTAAAATTTTCTTAAGTTTCATTTTGTTTCAATATAATAACATTTAATTAAATTTTAATTAACGAATTTCCTTGTACATGGGCTTGTAAATTAAAATGGATTTGGGATAAAATAAACTTATTTATCTTTTTTTTTTCAATTCCTACTATTAGTTCACACTCTCCCTATATCTTGTTCAAATTTTTAATCGTTCATAAAATACTTTTTATTCATTCATTCAAGTTCAAACACATTTCTTAAAATTTATAGTGG